GTCATCTTGCAAATAGTTGAATTTGGCTTTTGGGCGTTTGCTGAGATTCATGCAGAGAGGAGCCATTGCTCAGGTGCCTTGGGACAGCTGGGGTTATGTCAGGAAGCTCCCCTTTTGGCTCTCGGGCACTATAGGAAGACAGAAAGAAGCAATTTACAAGACAGCATCTGTTTCCCAAACGAATATGGAAGTGCAGTGACCCAGGCCTGCCCCGGCTGATGAATGAGACCTAAGGCAATTGCTATGGAGACGCATGATCGGGTCATACAAGACCTACCCTGGGGTGTTTCTGAAGGTCCAGGAACCCAGCTGATACAAAGGGTACTCCATCTGCCAATCTTAGCTGCCTGCAGCATGTTTGGTGAATGCCACAGGGTGTGTATGTGGAATAGTCATGGAAATTGGAGTGGGACCATCATCCCTGAGCAGAATGAATGCCTGACCCACCACCCCACCACTGAGCAGTTTTTCTGGGTTCCGACCTCTCTACTGTGCCCTGAAAATCTTTGTACAGATAAGGTTCCTTCTATATGAGTCAGGGATCAAGCAGAAGACAGGTGGGACTCTCGAACAGGTTTAAGTGAAAAGTATTTTTTGAAGGGCCTGTTGAAAGAGGCAGAGGGGAGATGAAGGGGACCATCAAGGATGGTGCAGAACCCAGAAGCTGTTACCAGCCTGAGGCCTGAATGAGCAGGTGAGGGCAGGAGACGGGAGCCCAGTCCACGAGGACAGCCTCCGGCACAGCGCAGAGCAGAGTGGACTGTGGAGCAAACCGAGTTGACTAGTATACCTGGATCTCCAGGGCCTGGACGCAGGCCCAGTGCCTTCCAGGGAATCTCCCACACCCGGAGATGAAAAGGAAAGACAGGAAAGATGGGACAAGGACTTAACACAAGAAGGAAAACCAGGCATTTGTGTATCTGGGCCATAAGCTAAGCACATTTAGAGGCTGACTGCCCAGGGTTACTGAAGAGGGAGTGTGAGCCCAGTTACACAGGGGGGTGTTCACCTTTCCCAGAGGAGATGACCAAGGAGCCTCCTGGAGGCTCCCTGAGTGTCCAACCTAAGGAAAAGAGTCAGCATTAGACACGTGCCAACATGTCTTCCTTCCTCAATGCTAATACCTTCTTTGACCTTATGAAAGACAAGAGTTGTCTGGGGAGCAGTTGAGAGACCGTGACAAGCATCTCTCTTGGCAGAGGAAGTGCTAGAAAAAGCTAAAGAGGAAGCCTACGCCCTCACTGTTATTGTCACATGTTTTTGCTGACATTTACTGAGAACATATGATGCGCCAGACGCTGAGTGCTTTTCCCACATGGACTCAGTCCAGCCTCACACAGCAGCCCTAGGAAATGGGCACCAGTATGGACTGAACTGTTGTTGTTGTTCAGCCGCTCAATCATGTCCGACTCTTTGCAACCCTGTGGACTGCAGCATGCCAGGCCTCCCTGTCCTTCACTCTCTCCCGGAGTTTGCTCAAATTCATGTCCATTGAATCAATGATGCCATCCAACCATCTCATCCTCTGTCATCCCCTTCTCCTTCTGCCTTCGGTCCTTCCCAGCATCAGGATCTTTTCCAATGAGTTGGCTCTTTGAATCAGTTGCCCAATGTATTGGAGCTTCAGCTTCAGCATCAGTCCCTCCAACATATATTGAGGGTTGATTTCTTTTAGGATTGACTGGTTTGATCTTATTGCAGTTCAAGGGACTCTCAAAAGTCTTCTCCAACACCACAGTTCAAAAGCACCAGTTCTTCGGCACTCAGCTTTCTTTATAGTCCAACTCTCACATCCATACATGACTACTGGAAAAACCATAGCTTTGACTATAGGGGCTTTGGTCAGCAAAATGATGTCTCTGCTTTTAGCCTACTGTCTAGGTTTGTCATAGCTTTCCTTCCAAGGAGCAAACATCTTTTAATTTCGTGGCTGCAATCACCGTCTGCAGTGATTTTGGAGTCTGAGAAAATAAAATCTGTCGCTGAGCCTGATCTTAGTGTTTTGAATGTTGAGGACTGATTTGTGTCCCCCCTCAAATTTGTACGCTGAAGCCCTAACTATGTGGCCATATTTGGAGATGGAGTCCCTCCCTACAGAAAGGATTAAGGTTAAGTGAGATCATAGGGTGGGGCCCTGACCCTATAGGGTCAGTATCCTCACAAGAAGAGGCACCAGATAGCTTGCCCTTCCCTGCAGTGTACATACTGAGGAAAGGCCATGTGAGGACATCGCAAAATGGTGACCGCCTTAAGCCAGGAAGAGAGCTCTCACCAGAAACTAAATTTACTGGCACCTGGATCATGGACTTCCCACCCTCCAGAACTCTGAGCAAATAAATGTCTGTTGTTTCAGCCATCCAGACTGTGGCATGTTGTTCTATCAGCCCAAGTTAAGGCAAGCACTATCAGTATGTCCATCTTACAGGTGAGAAAACTGCAGCATAGGGAAGCTAAGTTGTCTTAGGTCACCCCATGTGCCTTTGATCTTGTCACCTCACCAGGTCCTGTTTTTCTTATAGGGAGGGGGTCGGTCGAAATAGATCCGGGTCCATAAACTCAATTGTCAGGCAAGAAACAGAAATGGGTGATGCTGGCCGAGTGGGCACGGTGGCACGCTGGAGAGTGCTGTCCTCTGTAAAGAGGAAGGAAGCCCTAGTCTGCCTCCACCGTGATTACAGTTTTTCAGGACAAGCCTGGGGGACTTCCCTGGTAGTCCAGTGGTTAAGAATCCGCCTGCCCACGCAGGGGTCCTGGGTTCAAACCCTGATCAGGAAACTAGATCCAGCATGCTGCAACTAAGGCCTGGCACGCCAAAAAAAGTAAGAGAGACAAACTTGGAAGTCTGGATCTTTGGGGGAAATGTTCTGGCTTTTCAAACATTGGCAACAAATTCCATCATAAAAGAGTGTGTAGGCCAATTAAAACATGTCTACGGGCCATGTCTGATATATAGTGTCCCCTCTGGAGTAGATGATTTTTTTTTAACCCTCTCTTCTCTTCCTTCCTCTCTCCTTGGACATGGTTCTCTGCCTTTTGAGATGTTCCTGTGGCGTCTCTAAGTCCCCTGCCTTCAGGAAAACGATCACCATATCATGATCGAGAAGGGTTTCCAGGTACAGTCTGTGCAAATACTGTGCAGACTCAGCTGAGCCACGTAACCTTGAACTCGTTTGCTCTTCTGAAAATTGATCCAACGACAGCCACCTCGCAGGAGTTGTGGAAGGATTAAAAAAGGCCAGGCAGGAGGAAGCAACTGGCAGAGGAGGAGTTAGCTGTGTGTGGAGCCCCTGCTGGGCTTAGCACTTGCTGAACATCATCAGACATCTCAGTGATGAGTGTGTGAGCTCCTTACCTGGGGGGCTGGGGTGGTTTAGTGGGCTGTAACATTCTTTTTTTTTCTTTTTTCATTTATTTTTATTAGCTGGAGGCTAATTGCTTTACAGTATTGTAGTGGTTTTTGCCATACATTGACATGAATCAGCCATGGATTTACATGTATTCCCCATCCTAATCTCCCCTCCCACCTCCCTCCCCATCCCATCCCTTTGGGTCTTCCCAGGTTGGCTGTAATATTCTTTTTTTTTTTCATTTATTTTTATTAGTTGGAGGCTAATTACTTTACATCATTGCAGTGGTTTTTGTCATACACTGAAATGAATTAGCCATGGATTTACATGTATTCCCCATCCCGGTCCCCCCTCCCACCTCCCTCTCCACCCGATCCCTCTGGGTCTTCCCAGTGCACCAGGCCCGAGCACTTGTCTCATGCATCCAACCTGGGCTGGTGATCTGTTTCACCCTAGATAATATACGTGTTTCGATGCTGTTCTCTTGAAACATCCCACCCTCGCCTTCTCCCAGAGTCCACAAGTCTGTTCTATACATCTGAGTCTCTTTTTCTGTTTTGCATATAGGGTTATCGTTACCATCTTTCTAAATTCCATATATATGTGTTAGTATACTGTAATGGTCTTTATCTTTCTGGCTTACTTCGCTCTGTATAATGGGCTCCAGTTTCATCCATCTCATTAGAACTGATTCAAATGAATTCTTTTTAATGGCTGAGTAATATTCCATGGTGTATATGTACCACAGCTTCCTCATCCATTCGTCTGCTGATGGGCATCTAGGTTGCTTTCATGTCCTGGCTATTATAAACAGTGCTGCGATGAACATTGGGGTGCACGTGTCTCTTTCAGATCTGGTTTCCTCGGTGTGTATGCCCAGAAGTGGGATTGCTGGGTCATATGGCAGTTCTATTTCCAGCTTTTTAAGAAATCTCCACACTGTTTTCCATAGTGGCTGTACTAATTTGCATTCCCACCAACAGTGTAAGAGGGTTCCCTTTTCTCCACACCCTCTCCAGCATTTATTGCTTGTAGACTTTTGGATAGCAGGCTGTAATATTCTTGAAAGAGAAACTATCAGCCAAGTTCACCAGAGGGTGACCTGGACAGCCCAGAGGCCTGGTTGGGAGATGGAGAAATTGTCAAGGATGAGAGAGCAGTGATTTCACCCCCTGGAAGGCAGGAACCCAACAGCATCCTCTGTCCCCCGCCCCCACCCCGCTACCCCACCCCCCTGGCTTGGGAGGCATAATTAGTCACCGTGTTGGTAATAATGCCCGGCGAGTTCTGCTCCTGCTTAATAGCTGCCTGGAGAAATTCCAGTGGGTCCATTTTTAGTTGGAGCTAATGAGGGTTAAAAACTCTCCGGGCTGCCCAAAATACCCTCTGGGAGGCTCTCCCAGGAAGAGGGCGTTTACTGAGCTCCTGATTAAGGAACAGTCGATCTACTTTGTATCATCTTTTGCCAGAGCCTTTATCAGTGTGTGTTTTGCGCTGCTGGGTTTTTTTTTTTTTTTTTTTTTTGGTTTTGCTTTATTTTTTTAAACAAATGAGATCCGATTATGTGTGTTCCAAGGGCATGACTCAAGTTAGCTGTGTGCCAGGTGGGAGGAGGACAGAGGCAGTTTTCTGGGGCCAGCTTTCCCTTTGCAGAGCCAGAGGGGAGCCATCAAGGAGAAATGCAGAAGGAGGCGGAGCGCACTGTCTGCCAGGTCTGTCCTGCCGGCACAGCGCAGCGGGTGGGCGGTGCTCGGGAGGACTTCAGCCTGGAGAAGGATAAGTGCGTTAAAGGCAGCTGAGTGGAGGAAAGAAACCCAGAACGGAACTGAGCAGGGAAGGCTTGTGGAGCAGAGATGCTCCCCAGGCGTGCAGGGAGACCTCCCCAAGACGCTGAAGAACTTGCATGTGGTCATAAAGGGAGGAGCATCCAGAGCAAGAAGGAGGACCTGGGTGAAACTGCTTTTGGACTGGATTGAAACTCTGGGTTAAAGCTGAATCCACTCTGGGAAGATCAAGGAAAGGTTTAAAGGTTCTAACCTTAGGAATCACTTTCAGCCACAAAAACCAGGAGATCAAAGAATGCATTTTCAGAAGAGATGATGGGGAGGCCTTTGGAGTAGAGAAGCGCACTCACTGGACTTGGGGCTCATCCCTTCAAGAATTGGCTGAGTAATCCTGGGCATGCCCCTTCCCTTCTCTGAGGCTTGGTCTATAAAACAAAGGGATTGGGTTAGTTCTCTAGTTCTAAGCCTGAGCAGCACATGAGGAGCACCTAGGGAGCTACTAAAAATTCTGATACCTGGACGACAGCCCAGACCTATCAAATGAGAATCTTTCCAAGAGCAGGTCCAGGCATTGGTATCCCGTGAACTGGAACATTGTACAGATCCAAGTAGAGATCACCTGGACTACGTGGTCTCTCAAAGCCTCTGTCAACCCTGCTGTCATGTATTAGGTCTTTATGGAAAGAAGAGACGGGATGATTGGCAGACAGTCCCCAGTGGAAGCAAGGCATGGACCAGATGGCCTCTTGAGATTCCACGGCCCATAACATTCAAAGATTTGAGGCTCCAAGTGAACAAACTCTTTCTGCCAAGGCCCTGCCAGCTATATTTCTCCCCATCAATTCATCCCACAAATACTGAGCACCTACTATAGGCCTAGCCCACTCTAGAGGCTGGAGATTCAACAGTGAAGGAGACAGACCCACTTCTGGGTTCAGCTCTTGGGAAAGACCTGAAATCTCCAAGCTGAAGAGGAGGATGCGGATGGTGTGGAGAGCAGGAGGGGAAGGGAAGTTTAGGAGTTTGTAGGTTCATACAGGGTTCTCCAAACTGATACACTGTTTCATCAAACTCCTAAGGTTACCAGGGATCTGTTCCTGTTGCATTAATCCCATCTTCCCTTACTCCCAACCTCCTCCTTCAACTGTGGGGTCATCACATTTGCATTTAGCAAGCCATCTTAGGGTTAGACAAATTCTTTTCCTCCACACCAAATCCGTACTCTCAAGTATACCCCATGATGTCTTCCCAGCTCAGTTTAAGCTCCCCACAGCCAAGGACTGGGCCTTGAGTCTTTAGGGAGGGTTTGGTGCAGTTTAGAGCATGTGGGCTACAGACAGGCAGCCTGGAGTCAGATCTTGCCGCTGCCTCTTACCAGAGGTGACCACTGCGTGACCTTGGTACAGTACTTAACAGCGCGCTGGCCGCCCACCTCAGATCTGCATCTTCAAACCAGGGATTACAGTCGTACCACCTCTCACATTCTTATAGGGAATAAAATGAATTCCTGAAGGGAAAGCAGTGTGGCGCGTGAGTACACTCCATAGGTGGTGATTGTTACCGTGCTAGAGCCCGAGATGTTAAATGAGCTTGTTCTGATCAAACTAATGGGAGTAACCGGTAGGGCTGTATGTTGTGGGGGCTTCCACTGTCTCTCTCTTCCCATTCATGTCTGATACATTGGTTGGGGAGTGCTACATTCTGTTGCAGGTAGATAGATCGAGTCTGAGATTTCAGCAGATTAATTCAGTGGGAGTTCATTGTTCTCTCATAAAGTCCTAATGGGTGTGGGGAAGGGGGTGCTCTGCTCCATGCAGCCATGAAGGACTGGGGCTTCCTTGGTGGCTCAGATGGTAAAGAATCTGCCTGCAATGCAGGAGACCTGGGTTAAATCCCTGGATCAGGAAGTTTCCCTGGAGAAGGAAATGGCAACCCACTCCAGTATTCCTGCCTGGAGAATTCCATGGACAGGGGAGCCTGGTGGGCTACAGTCCCTGGGGGGTCTCAAAGAGTCCATGGGACATGACTGAGTGACTAACACTTGCACTTTTGAGATGGGAGAAAATCCTAGAGCCGCTTTCTGCCCTTGTTCACAGCACCTTCTTCAAGCTCCTTGTGGCATGCGACTAGGTTCTTACCAGTGGAATGTCGGTGGAAGTGATGCCATTCCTGCCCTGATCCAAAAAGCTCCCAGATTATTTTCTCTTTCCCTCGCTCTGTGTTTCTCTGTCCATTTCTCTCTCTGTCTCTCTCAGCTTGTGTGCCATGGGGTTGTCAAAGTCCTGGGGAGCCTTGAGCCAGAACCCCGTCACATGCCACAAGGAGCCTGGGAGAGGTGCAGTGAAGAAGGGCAGGAGGGGCCCTCTTGGACTGCCTCCCGGCTCAAACCCCAGTGCAGGCGGGCGTTGTCCCATCTGGCGTCGCCCTGGGGCCAGTGCGCATGTGCGCGCTGTTTCTGTGCTCTGTCACCTTCTCCTGTTACTTTCCTCCAATCTCTGTTCTCTCTTCGATGGCATCTACCCGATGTTGGGCTTCTGTGGTTACAGACAGGTTGACTGTTTGGCCACTGAGTGCTTCAGTGGAGATACGCTCTAGGGATGGTGATAAAGGATGTTGGGAGGGGGATGGGGCGGGAAATGCCAGCACCAGAGCCTTCCTGAAGGACGGCTGTGCATGGTCACCTCTACCCACAGAGTGTTTGATCCCAGGCCGCTGGACTCCCAGGAGCAAGGGAGGGACTTTTAGCCCCTGACACTGCCCCCTGAACAGCAGCTGCCATATCACCTGGAAACTTGATAGAAATACAAATTCTCAGCCCCACCTCGGACTGCTGAATCAGAAAATTGGCTCATAGAGGTTAGTAACCTGCCAGATTCACACAGCTAATAAGAGGCAGGACAAAAGCAGTTGAACAAGTCCTTGGGTGATTCTTCAAGTCTGAGAATCTGGGCGGTATCCGTGGAGCCCCTGATCAGTTCAGTTCAGTTGCTTAGTCGTGTCCGACTCTTTGCAACCCCATGGACCGCAGCACACCAGGCCTCCCTGTCTATCACCAACTCCTGGAGTTTACTCAAACTCATGTTCATTGAGTCGGTGATGCCATCCAACCATCTCATCCTCTGTCATCCCCTTCTCCTCCCACCTTCAATCTTTCCAAGCATCAGGGTCTTTTCCAATGGGTCAGTTCTTTGCATCAGGTGGCCAAAGTATTGGAGCTTCAGTTTCAGCATCAGTCCTTCCAATGATTATTCAGGACTGATTTCCTTTAGGATTGACTGGTTTGATCTTCTTGCAGTCCAAGGGACACTCAAGACTCTTCTTAAACACCACAGTTCAAAAGTTATGAGTTATGAATTCTTCAGTGCTCAGCTTTCTTTGTGGTCCAACTCTCACATCCATACATGACTACTAGAAAAATGATAGCTTCGACTATACAGACCTTTGTTGGTAAAGTAACGTTTCTGCTTTTTAATATGCTGTCTGGGTTGGTCATAGCTTTTCTTCCAAGGAGCAGGTGTCTTTTAATTTCCTGGCTGCAGTCACCATCTGCAGTGATTTTGGAGCCCAAGAAAATAAAGTCTGTCACTGTTTCCATTGTTTCCCCATCTATTTGCCATGAAGTGATGGAGCCCCAGCTGGAGGGCGCCAATAGGACGGTGCCTCACTCTGCCACCCAGTGGCCACAGAGTGAACAACAAGGGGGACAGACGACTGAGGAGACAGTGAAAGTGAAAGTGAAGTCGCTCAGTCCTGTCTTTGCAACCCCATGGACTATAGCCTACCAGGTTCCTCCATCCAAGGGATTTTCCAGGCAAGAACACTAGAGTGGGTTGCCATTTCCTTCTGCAGGAGATCTTCCCAACCCAGGGATTGAACCTGGGTCTGCCGCATTGTAGGCAGATGCTTTACCATCTGAGCCGCCAGGGAAGCTCTCAGTACAGCTCATATAATCCATCAGTGAGGAAGAAACAATAATGGAAAACACTGGGGAATCCACAGGCCACACAGGCTGTTCACCCAAGCCTGCTTCATGGACAGTTTTAAAAACCTAGAGTCCAGCCCAGAGCCAAACCCAAAGTCTGTTTCCAGAAGGGCCAGCCCACCTGTGTTTACATTTCATGGGGACCTGGCAGAGTGGGCTGGAAGAGACCTCAGTGTTCAGACGATGACCCATCAGGGGCCAGGGTCCAAAAGCTGCTGTCATGTTTAGGGGGTTCCAGGAGAAGCAGAGCCGCCTCGTCCCTGGGCGAGCACACAGCTCTATCCAGACCTTCTGAGCAAGGCCGCTCACCTGGTTTGGCCCTCCCTGGGCCTCTGCCAAGAACTTGGGGAGAGAGGACAAGAGATGACCCCTCCAGGCTCAGCCTCCTGCAGCCTGTGTGACCAGCGCTGCAGAGATGGGGCTGCCGCCTGAACTCAGCCAGGAGCGAATGTCCAGAAACAAAGACCTCTCGCTGTTTCCTTTGCCCCTGCCCGTGCTCCAGGGCACTGGCTCTGTTTTTTAAGGAAGGAGCTGGCAGCTGCAGGGGGTCCTGGGGAGGAGGCCAGCTTGCTGGGAAGGCTGTCCCTTTGGTCCTGACATCTGGCTTGCCCTGACTGTGCGCTAGAGGCACAGACTCTAAGAGAAGGGGAAGGGCAGGGGAACCAGCATCGGCAGGGCATCCTGAGCTGTGTGGGGAGCCCGCCATCTCCGCCTCATTTAACCCACCGACACTGAATTCCCAGCATGACGGTTCAGAGAGCTGAGTAACCTGCCTCCAGGTAGTCAGCTAGTGAGAGCTGACACCTAAGGCTGTGGGTTCTGTCCGTCTCTGCCTGCTGCCCGCCTCCCCACTGCAGAGCCCTTCTGGGCTGCCTATCATGCCAGGCAGTTCTCAGACCCAGAAACCCATGGGAATCCCACAGCAAGAGAGCATCCTTGCCTAGCTGCCCTGCCCTCAGCCCCCAGCATCTTCTTTGGGGGCTCAACAGCAGCGCTGACAAGGGAGGCTGCTCCAGCCAACTCTGAAACCAGG